AGTATTAGTAGGTTCTCTATACTTAGATATTAAATATAAATAGGCTAATTAAAGAATTATAAAAGTAGTAACTAAGTTTTTATAGTATTTGCTAAGGATTATTTAAAGATAGTTATATTATAAGTTTAAATTTTAAAATAAGTTATCTATACTTCTTTAGTATATTTTTTACTATATTAGTAACTAAATATATAAGTAGTAGTAATATAATTAGAATAAGTAAAATAAAATAAAGATTAAATTAGGAAAGGTAATATTCTCTATTTATTTTAGATNATAAATAAAATAAAATAAAGATTAAATTAAGATAGGTAATATCCTCTATTTATTCTAAATTCTTATTAGTAAATTTCTAAACCTTTTAAAAATATAACTTATATATTTTAGTATATTTATATTTTTATTTCTTTAATTATAGTATTTTATTATACCTTATTTAGGGAATTTTAATCTAAATACTCTTAAATTATTNATCTAAATACTCTTAGATTATTATTTTCTTTATATATATTATTCTAATATTTAGTTACTACTTTAATTAATAAAACTTAGCTTTAATATTAGTTATATTATTAATATATTTCTATACCTTTATAGTATAAGGATTAGTAAAATAATCCCTTATAGCCTTCTACTTCTCTCTTATACTAGAGCTAATAAGGTAATTTATAGAAATAATTATTATAATAATACTATAAATTATTATAATAACTTTATAGGTATAAACTATAAATATATAGTAGTAGGGATATATCTATAGGTATACCTTAATAGATAGATTAGAGAGATTTAGTATAAATAATTTAAGATATTTAAAATTATACTTATAATAGTTTTATTTTATTAGTTATAAGAGGTAAGATTAATTCTATTAGGGTAGATTTAAAATTTCTATAATATAGCTATATAGACTACTTATATAAGTTATATAATTATTTTAAGGTGAGGGTTATTATTACTATAGTAATAGAGGTATATTATACTTACTAAATCTTAAGTATAGTATAGTCTATATATATAACCCTTCTTTTTAAATCTACTAATTAACTAAAGTTATTTTTTTTCTTCTCTCTATAAATATATTACTATTATAACTTTATATAGTTTATTCTTCTATCTATATAAGTATTTTTATTTTAATATTTTTATCCTTTCTTAAAAGCTAATTTCTTATAGATATAAATCTATAATACTTATATACTAATATAGTAATAATATAGGTAGTACTAGAAATATACTTAAGTAAACTACTTATAAGATTACTCTTAAAACTACTAATAAAACTACTAATAAGACTACTAATAAGATTACTCCTAAGACTACTTATAAGACTATTATAAAGAAGCTAGCTTATATAGTTAAATAGTAGGTACTAACCTATAAATATAAACTTAGATATAAGTTAGATTATTATAATTCTCAAAAATTATTATAATATTAATATTTTAAAGACTATACTTTTTAAGAAATATACTATATCTAAGTTTTATATAAGCCTTTAATTCTAAAGATATTCTTTAAGAATCTTATTAAGGAGATTATACTTAAAAACTATAAAACTAGCTTTATTATATTTAACTATATTTAAGCTTCTACTCTTAAAGTATTATAAAAAAGCTCTAAAACCCTCTTAGTTTCTATATTTAATAATATATTTTTATTTCCTTTTCTAAATTTTTTACTAATATTTTTTAGTATATATATAGGTAGTTATTTATACTTACTAAGTTACTATTAATAGTAAAGATCTTATTTTAGTTAAAAAGATTTATATAATATCCTAAGGAATAAGTACTTTATAGTTAGGTAATATATAAGTAAGTATTTTATTTTATTTCTATTTTATTATTTTACTTTACTTATATTATTTTAGAATATACTATATATATTAATTAACGTTAGAGAGCTATTAATAAAACTTAGTTCTAGAATTATTTATATATAACCTTAAAGTTAAACTTAACTATTTAATATAAGTTTAAGAGTAATAAAACTATTCTTAAAACTAAAAAGGGTATTATTATTAAGAAGACTCCTATAAAGTAAAAGAGGTCTATAAGAGAAAGTATATCTAAAATAAAGAAGAGAGCTAGAGTTAATTAAGAAGATAATATCTCCCTTTTAAATAATTATAAATTAGATATACTCTTAGATACTACTATATTAGAGTATTTTAATTAATTTTAATTACTATCTCCTAATATTTATTAAGATACTTAGAATAGCCTTAATATTATTAATACTATTATTTCCTCTAAAATTATTATAGATAGAAATACTATTCCTTAAACTAAAAGTAATATTAATACCTTAGAGGGAACTAATAACTAAGAGAATAAAGTTTAAAGGAATAAAGTTTAAAAGAATAAAACTTAAGAGAATAAAGTTTAAAGGAATAAAGCTTAAAGGAATAAAGTTTAAGGAAATAAAGTTTAAAGAAATAAAGAACTAAGTAATATAAATAAAAAGAAGATTAATTATATTAATAATAACTAAGAATTACTTAATAATAGTAATATATCTAAAGTAATTAATAACTATTAAAATAAAGAATAAAGTAATAGAAATAAATAGAATACTAATTTCTATAATAGGATTTAAGCTTTTTTTAATAGAGGTTATACTTTATAAGAAATCTTTAGTAGTAATAATATAACTAATAGAAATATAGAAAATAGTTTTATAATTAAAGAACTTTCTAATAAAAGAAATAATAATAATATCCTTAGTATTAGATAAGAAAGTTCTTTTAAAATAATATAGGAGAATAATAATAAGTATAAGAAGTTATTAGATATATAGCTAGATAATATAGATTTAAAGTAAAAAATCCTTAAGTATTAAATAATATAAATAGAAAATAGTAGCTTTAGAACTATAGAATAAGAAATAACTTAATTAGATTAAGAATCTAAAGAATTTAGTAATAAGAATATAAAACTAAATAATAGAGACTATATATAATATATTTTAAAAATATATAGTAATTAAGTTTCTATTTATAGACCTATACTATTAAAATGAAATTTTATATAAGATTATTATAATAGTTATTATAATATATTATAATTTTAAGAAGTATAGTATTACCTATAACTCTATAAGTATAGGTAGAATCTCTACTTATACCTATATTTATATCTACTTATATACTTAGTAAACCTATTTACTTATAGTCTAGGTCTACCTATAACTTAACCTATTTATATAGCTACCTGTAGGTATCTATAGTATAGGTAATTTAAAGCCTAGTTAGGTATATAAAGGTAACGCTAGATTCACTAAATCCTGCACACTAATTAGGCGTGCAGATTTAAGCTTTGTACCGACTTAGATACAGTTTGCGCCTCTGTGTTGCCTTATTCACATTATCTGGATAATTGTGGTGCTTTGACAGCATCGCCGCGTAAGTTGACCTACGAGATTCTGCCGGCCCACCTTCGTTGATGTTTGCTGGAATCACAGCCCGGAACTTCTCGATGCAGTCTTCCGGAGGCGGGGGCAAGTTTTCTTGCTGTCGTCGCCCGCCCACTTGTGCCTCCAAGTCTGTCCATTCTTTCTGATTTCTTTGTACCCTTGAGACAAGGAAGCGGCGCCCCTCGTACTCGAATTCGTCCTCGAAGTTGTCAGAGCGATAAATTCGCTTCATGCGCCGTCGGCGAGCTTGAAGCAGTCCTTCCCTCTCTCGGGGCATCGCCGAGAAGGCCTGAGCTTCAAATTGCGCACCATCTGTATTCGTGACGATGTAAAAGTCAAGGTAGTCGTCACTGACTTCAGGTTTACGACATTTGATCTCGTATTTGTCTCCAATGAGGTTTTCATGGCCGCCTGGATTTGTGGCAACCGCCATTTCGGCCAGCCCTATAGGAGCTCGAGTCTAATTTGAAATTCGTGATCAATTATCTTGACTACTGAGAATCTGGAGTTGCTGGACTTACTCTCAGCAGAGCGCTAGGCATGTTGTGAGAGGTTTCGTCGTTTCTAACGGTTCCTTGGGAGACAGTTGTGTGTTGAGAAAGATGAAGCAGACGAGAAATAACTCCAAGTGCCTGTTATAAAGACTCGATGATAACGTATGTTCAGGTTTGTAGCTCAGCAGGCATCAATGAAGCCTTGCAGTTCAACTTTCAAAGGATAAGCCTCATCATATCAGTCATAGTGACTGGGCTCACGAGGTATAAGCCTGCGGCCGTGCCATAAACTACACCGAGCATGATCTTTCTCACGTTTTATCAATTGGCGTATCGGATGCGTTCTTGACTTTGAGGCACATTTAAAATCCTTTTTGGCCTTTCCGTGTGAAGAATCCACATGCCTGCGCCATCTAGGCACCGACGTCGTCGCCTTACATGTGGTTGCGGCAAGGCAACCAACACAAGTCCGACCAATCCAAAATTGGACACCGACGTCTCGGCTCAAGCTTGTTGCGCCATCTTCGCACATAATTATTGAGAGCAAGTCTAAAACGCAGTGCAAGAATTGCGTCATAGAAGGCCCTGAAATGAACCTCAAATGGGGCGTGAGAGCCAATAATAGGGTTGTCTCTCACCGAAATTACAGGCAGAAATGGGCCTCAAATTCTGTGGCGACCGCCCCCATCAGCTTGAGTCGGACTCGGACCTGACAAGCCTGGGCCTTCGACTTTCCAAGCAGGCTGCAAGGCGGCATCATCTGAAATAGAATCATGGCAATGTTGCCAGCACTATTTGTAGTCATAACCTCCTCTAAGATGTACATATAAAAGCGACTTGGAGAGAAAGGCCGAAATCTCTCAGACTGGTCGTCATCGTCGTTCTACGCAATAAATCTGTGGCCTCAAAGCTGTTGGCTTCCTATGAGCCATCTCTCGTTCAGTGGGTGGGTTCTTGTTATTCCCGGCGGATTGTTGCTATTAGCGCGCACTCCCCTAGAAGTATGTGAAGCAGGACTCAGCGACATGGTATGTAGCAGGGGACTGAGTTCGGTGTTCCATTTGGCACCCATTTGGCACATTAATAAAATCAAGCTCAAGGTGTACGGAATGCTGCAGCGGTGGTAATGTATATTTAATAATTAACGACAGGACCTGCAGAAATGTTGACGGCAGCACGATCGCCGTTATTTGATATATCCCATGGAAAGATTGACTTGTGTTACCCCCAAGGGACCATGAAAGGTTACCCTGCGGAAGGGAATGGGAGCCACTGAACTTTGCGAGAGCTGGCCGCAGGCCGCCCGGGAGGAAGTTTGCAGACCCCAACATGCGCCCAATGGTTGTTGAAATTGTCGGTCTGTTCACCGCATTTACAAGTAAACTGCTGATCGGTATCTTGCCGCTTCCTGCAATTGCCAAGGTGCCGAAGGTAGTTGTCTCTTCGTCCACTTCCGTACAAGCATCTGCATCGAAACGTGTTCCCGTGGGCCGCCCTCTGGTGTCGGTTCTTCTGTCTCACGTTGCGGTACGGCTTCGAGCAGAACTCGCAGATCGTCGAGGATTGAGAAGCGGCCGTTACTCCACTGCGGATACTGCAGGTGTCGAAGACAGACGACGCAGTTTGGCTAGGAGTTGCGGTGCTCGGTGATAGCAATTGTTGGTTGGGAAAACCCGGGGCAAGGTGACACTCCGGCTGAATGCGCAGTGATGTGGAAACTAGAGGATTCCATGACCCCGCGTCAGGATGAGCCTGATGGCCGTATTGCCCCAGAAAAGGGGGGAGGTCGTCGACGCCTGTAGCATTGGCGTCGCCGATGGTTAACACTGAAACATCGATATCGATGTCGATGTCAAAGTTGGCTTCTGAGTTGGCAGCAATGTCGGCGTCAAAGTCGACGCCAAAGCCGGTGTCAAAGTCGACATCGAAGTCGATATCAAAGCCGGCGTCTAAGCCGACGCTTGCGTCAGGTTGCTGATGCGCAAAAGCAAACTGATGCTCATATTCCGGGATGACGGGACCGCCGCCTTGAATGGCCGTAGGCGAGACCGGCGCCGCGTTTGGAGGTGCAGGCGCTAGTTCGGATAATCGCTGATGGGCATAATGTTGACCAGCCGGTTCGCTCGAAAGCGACGGCAACCGGTCGTTCATGGGCAGTGTAAGATAAGCTCAGCCAGGTGCTGGGCTATTGGGCGAAGTTGGGATCAAGGTTGGCGAGGAGTAACGGCTGTGCCGCCAGTCAGCGATAGATTTCGCAGATGACCAAGGGACCCTTTCTTTCGATGGGGCCGTACCGGCTGGGTTGAATCTTAAGTCGGGATGAAGAGATGGTGGCGATGGGATCGTGAGTAAACCTGTACAAGAAGCACTCAGGATGTTCGGAATGCACGACTTTGGTTGACTGCAAAGCAAAGTTCAGAAGCAACCACCGTGGGTGGCGGATGATTCTTGTAGGACACCGGCGTGGACAATTGTGTGAGGATCTTTTCCATCATCACGATTGGGGTATGGGAGCGCTTGGTCTGCGAGGACGAGTACTAGCCACATTCAGTTGCCGACTCAGCCCAGCCAAGACTGACGACTGCTATGGTGGCCCCAGAAAGACTGCGAGATGCATGACACGGATCGTACTTCGCAGGAACACTGCACCGACGAACCGTCCTATGCCAACGCCAATATCGAACTTGTATATGTCCAAGGGACCTGGAGCCAGCAACGAGACCGGAGGATTTGTCTCTGCATCACACTATCAAGAGTCATGAGCCAGGCCCTCTTGGGCTTACGCGTGGTCACTTCAACAATCGTCGGAGCTTTAGGATGGGCAAAAGAAAGACGTGACGGAGGTTCGGTATTGGCAGCGGCGCAGCAGCTTCAGCACGCTACTGCAGGGGACTCTTCCAGGAATAACGAATGGCACCTCACCCTGTTTTCTAGATGTACGGTACCTTAAGGGAATTACAGGAACCTTATCACCGATAACTATCGCGGAGACGAACATTCACAGCCCCAGGAGTCGGGCTATTGAATGATTCTTCATCTAACACATCGCCTATCCATTGAGTATATCGACTCTTCACGATGATGGGGAAATCATGCAATGTTGGGTCCGCATGTCTGCTCATGCTGCTCAGGAAGTTCACCCAACCCAAATACACTGAATTACCACCCGCCCCGGGTACACCACACAACACCGGCAGCAGACGCAGCCTTTATGGAGGGTGGGTTTGATTCCGCTTATCACGGCCCGAAAGACATCTCTCCGCCTGAGCTGCCGAAGCACACACCTTGTAACTTGGCTGTCAGGGGCTGTGAGCGGGCAATGTAGTCGCCCTGTCAGACTGCATTTCACCACCTCCAAAGCGGGGCAACACGCCTGAAAGAGACAACCGGATCTGCGATTCCAGACGGGACTCCACTCGCTAACTAGCCACCAGCGTAGCTTATCTTCCAGCGGGACGCTTAATGTTTTCTTATTCATGAAGTGACGCTGCTCATGCTCCCAGACGCATTCAAAATCCAGCAGTGTCTTCTTTGTCTGCGTAGAGGTCATCTCTTGAAGGCCTCCTAGCCTAGCTGTCTCCTGAGATTTGACTGCGGACACAAAGACACAGTAAGTTAGACACTGCACTGCAGTGCTTGAAGCATGTGGTCTGACAAGAAACATCTTCGTCATCATACACTCGACTTAGAAGTACGCGGTTCCCATGCCCTTTCATCACCTGCGACCATCATTTCTAAGGTTTATAAGTCGTTGCCGATAGGTTGGTACTTTCTGGCGGAGGGTTTATACTAGCCTGCATGAAGACGTATCTACGGTTTGGAGTTCTACTACGGCGACAGCTGTAACTGAAGATTTTGTTTATGGCACTAGCAGTGCAAATGTGACGGGTTTGATACCATCCTAGGCAGTATTCATAAGATCACCTCAAGATACAAGAGGTAGCATGAAGAACGACGAATTGTGCTTAATATGAGTGCTGATTGACACATGATTGGGCATGTGTGCTCACTGTGCCTGACCTATCATAAAGATGTGTTTGCCTTCGGCTTCACAGGCTGCATGGAGATATTATCTAGGATAAATATTGGTACAAATGAAAAATAAATGTTTGAGATTAGCGCAAAGAAACACTTTAAGACACTCTAAAAGATCACGTAGAGAGCTGAACGCTCTCTACAAGGCTTGAAGAAATATAAGTAGTACTTCCAACTGTGCTCATCATTCATCAAGCAGTTGACTGTCACAGATTGCCCGGCTGCAAAGGTTTTCTCATCTCAAAGTTGCCAGACAATGCAGTTGCGAATAACAGTAGGCCGCTACAGCTGATAATCTATCAAAACGTGTAGTCGCCCTTGGTGGGGGTAAAATAGGTGCTGTGTCCTCCGCATAGGCCATTCATCTCATCTCCTCCGATAAAGCTGTCGTCGCAGCTACGCGATCCGAGAAAACATCCGTCGATAGTATGCGCCTAATTTCTTAGTTAGCCGAATTCTCAAATCCAAACATGGGAAAAGGGAAGGGCAAGTTACATATTTTCCTGCAAGAGGTGCTCCCTCATCCGCGGTCCAGACTTTCAGGCCTAGTCATGTTAGGAAGGGGCTTCGCGACAGCTTGACAACCGCTTGTAAATGAAATTCTAGGTGGTAATCAGATCTTACTTATGACAAAACTTCCTTTGTTATCAGTAGCAGTCGAGGTAAGGGTGTCATCAATGGCGTTGCCTTCGGTATTTGTACAAGCACATAGGCGGTGCTTATCACCCAGCGCGGTGGTACTCAACCAAAGTTAGCATCCGGCTGCTCTAAGCCAGATGTTGAGATACAAACGTACGAAAGTCCGACGACAAGGAGGGGGAGGATTGGGAAGATGAACATGGCGCCTGACTCGGTGTTGGTTGCCGGTTCGAATGCTTTTTGTTTTATGGAGCGGGAGATGGCTGAGACCGCAGGCCACGACCTCGAATCTGCTGAGTTGCTTGTAGTTTATGTACGGAAATGTCTCAATGTCTCATCACGCCCACTGTTGAATGCTGCGGAATCTGGCACGAGTCGCTGATGGTTTTGAGTAAATGGCGAGGAGGCGGACTGAATTGCCTGATTTGATTAATTCATTTGATCCACGTGGTTTTAGCGGCTTTTCTTAGCAGCTAATCGTGGCCTGAAAGCAAAGTTCGCGCATCGCCGGAGCGCTCCATCACGACAAGTCACCACGCCCCGAATGGTCCTGCCATCGAAATAAGACTACAACACCGCCTTCATTCGGGAATAATGCATGGGAAAATTCTCGGTGCTTCAGAATCTGAGCTCAGTCTAAAAGTCAGCTCGAAATCTTCCTAGTCTTCAAAATGTAGGCAATACAGAACTGCTGACATCGATCATACAGCGAAAGAAGCACCTCCTGCGGGTGGATCCGCGTTGGCAGCAGCGCAGGGACGCGACCTGGAACAACGGATATCTCCTCGCTTGGAAATCTTGTAGTTACAGGCCTGCGGAAAGATACCTGAAATTTACGAAGATGAGCATTCACCTGCCCGGCCCGGCTCCGAGAGGCGGGTCTCTGTTCGGGCCCGGGAAACACGGACACCTTACCCACGCACCCCGATCGAAATGCAACTCACCACCCACAGAGCGGGTCGTTCAGACAAATACCCCGCCAGATCCTCAATTCAAGACCACTGCCCAACGACGTAACTTGTTCTTCGGCGTGAGCCCGCGCCAGATCTTCCGTGTTTGACTCCATGCTGCCCTGGTAACCAGAGGTTAGAGTCTACCAGTTCCGGCCCTGGCTGTAGATTCTTCAAATCATGAGTATTTGATGAAAAGAGCTGTCCGGTGATATACGCCTCAAAAACAACACACTTAGAATTAACTAGAGTATTATTCGGCTTATTCAGCACATCAAGAGTCTCGCGATATTGGCTGGAGCGGACACATGAGGGCACTGCAACTCGACTGTGTTAAATGTGCTTCTTTTCAAGTTTTATGATGGGAACAACTCAGGACGGTCAAGCACTTGAAATACGCGGGTTCGTTACAACTATACGATGTCCAGGCACCTTCGTCACATGGCCAACTTTCCTGGTGGTTTCGACTCGTCAAGCGATAAGCTGATACTCGCTGGCGATAATGTCCACAACTAGGCCCACACATGGACGCACCAACAGTTTGGGGTACTGCCACGATATAGGTGGATCTGGGCGACGATGACAGTCATGGCCAAACAGCTCTCTGCTCGCCTCACGGCCTAAAATGTTCGTATTTTCATTGGTCTCCTCACGATAGTCCACATGGAAAAGTCGGCGTGCGTATGGTGCCAACTCCATGGGACCACAGCACCCCTGTCAACGTGAGCTGCCATTGGCTGCCGAACCTCCCCTGCATTTTGAACCCACAGCACATGCTTCTCGCGGCCCAATATTATATACCCTCTCGCTCATTCTTCAGTGTCACCGCAAGAAGCCCATTTGATACCACCCGCAGCTACGGTTTGCATCTTGAGAGCGGACATCCTACTTGACTTCAGGACGCTCATTTTCTGTGTTCCTGTCCGCTGGACGGCACTGCAGCAGACTCACAACCGCCAAACTCTGCCCGCCGCTGTCCCTCACCGCCATTCGAGATGTCCACCGCCGTCGTTTCTTCCGCCGCCTCGGTTCACGGGTCTGACAGCGGCGTATCCACTGCCACACTGTCTCGAAAGTCCATCAGGCGTGAGGTGGACGTCGTCGCGGGGGTGACCGTGAAGGAGAGAAACAAGCAGAGCCTCACGATCTGCGTTGTACGCGAAGAGAGTCTTCACAAGCTGGAAATGGCTTGCAAGTACATCCGAGGAATCTTTGAACGAGACAGTAGGCTACCCCGCCCCCTGCCTGCATATCGCAAGTGCATCGACCAACATTTCTGACACTGGAAGCAGCTCCCCCCATGCTCTTCACCACCGTCGAGCTCCTCCAGCAAACCATCGACGCCGCCGAACTCTCCGCCAAGCACCGCGTCCTCAACCTCCTCTTCAGCCCCGAGATCGAGGAGGTCACCTTCGACGTGCCGCCGCACTTCAGCCAGCTCAAGGTGCTCCGCTGCGCGGACCGCCGCGACCACGGCAAGCTGTTTGTCGACGGCGCCGCTACGTACAACAACGTGCGCCTCGACAAGTGGCAGGCGCACCGGCACAAGAACCACACGCTCATCATCGGCGACGAGCGCGGCGTGCGCATCAAGCTCAGCGACATCGTCACGCTGCCGCACTGGGCGCGGTGCCGCAACAACTTTGACGGCGCGGAGCAGAACGAGATCTTCCAGCATTTTCAGAACCTGTCGGGCAAGAGCCGCTGGGAGGACGTCAAGGGCATCGTGTCGTCGATTTTGGGGCTCGCGACGGGGGCGGCGAAGCTGGGCGTGAGGCTGAGCGGGGCCGCAGGCGGGATTTATGCGAAGTACACGTTCGGACTGCATGCGCTGGAGATAGGAGCTGCGGGTGTGAAGGTCAGCGCTGTTGCGACGGCGGCGGGCTCTGCTGTCGTGCTGGGCGTGGCGGCTGGAGCTGCGGTTTACTTCATACCCTGGGAAGGCCTGTTTGAGTGGTTGAAGAGGGCCTTTTTCAGTTTTTGGGACAAGATTTGTTCGCTCTGGCAGCGATTTAAGGGCTGGGTTGTGGATTTGTTCACCGGCGGATCTGAAGTGGAGAGCAAGCAGAAGATGTTGGTGAAAATGAGGTAGTCTGGCTTCCTTTTCTTTTGTTATGGGTTTGGCTTGGGTATTGGGATATTTGATGATGCGATGGAAATTGGAATACAGTACAAGAAGTACGAGAACGACGTTTCTTAAGGGGTATTTACAGTAGAATGCGACAAAGAGAATGAATAGACGATAAAGCTCTGCTAGACATGATTGAAACAAGAGGACTATGAAGCCATTATTGCAGTGCAGGATGTAAGTGACCCGGTGCCGATAAGGTACTCAAAGCGAGTGATTACATGATAAGGTAACCTATTTCTCGCTTTCCGGCCCGTTGCCTCCAGTGACGGACGCCGGGAGACCCACCATCGCCGAAACTTTCGGGCGAGGCCGGCCCGAATGTCGCACATATGGGACCAACTACTAGGCAAGGGAAGTTGGAAGCACATGCAGTTATGCACAGTACCGATGCTTATATATTCGCCAATTATATGAACTTATCTAACCAGTTCAATCCTCAAAAGTTGGCAAGACCCAAATGTGGTTATAGAATAAAAGCAAGGAAAGCTGACTTGAACCCGCAACACGGCTTGAATGATCATATAATGTCATTGGTTCTTATACTACATAGCCCATAATCCAATTTTGTTTCGTAAAATCGTACAGCAACACCGCAATCCTTCAAATGTGAACAATCATCTTACAGGCCAAGCAGTCCGCCGCCGCCCTTCTTGCCATCGCCGCCACCTCCTCCAAGAAGACCGCCGCCTCCTTGGCCTCCGCCCAACAGACCGCCAAGCAGCCCTGGGTTGTCCTTTCCTCCGCCGAGAACACCTCCGAGAAGTCCCGGGTTGTCTTCTCCTCCGCCAAGGACTCCGCCGAGGAGGCCGCCGTTGCCGCCTCCGAGGAGTCCACCTCCACCACCGCCGCCCTGCTTGGAGTTTTGCTCGCCTCCCAGACCACCGAGAACGCCGCCCAGGAGACCGCCAACACTGTAAAATTGGTTAGCTTCTCGTTTCATGACTAGGAAAGGATAGATTGCTTACCCATCACCAACTCCGCCAACAACGTCACCAACACCGCCGAGCAAGTCGCCCTGGCCAACCTTGCCAACGCCCTTGCCCAAGCCTCCAGTGATACCGGTAACAGCATCGCCAGCACCCTTGCCGACGCCACCAACGACGCCACCCAAAGGTCCGCCGACGGTGTCACCAAGGCCTCCAACAGTACCCCCGACAGTGTCACCCTAGAGCCTTCGTCAGCGTCCGTAAATTGTTCTCAGTAAGAGGAGCTCTTACCAATCCCTTGCCGACACCGCCAACAGTGTCGCCAACGCCCTTGGTGGCACCGCCGACGGTACCCATGACATCGCCTCTTCCGAGAGCACCAGTGGTGTCTCCCAAAGTCTTGCCGAGACCGCCGGTCGCAGCGCCGAGCGTGTTTGAAACGCCGTTCGTGGCTCCTCCAACAGTCTTTCCGAGACCGTCGACGCCAACGGTCTTGCCGACGCCATCGGCAAGCCCGCCGACAGTCCGGCCGGCTCCGTCAACGACACCGCCTACAGTCTTGCCGGCGCCGTCGACAACGCCGCCGGCAGTCTGTCCAACTCCGCCGACGGTCTTGCCCGCGCCACCGACCACGCCGCCGGCAGTCTTGCCGACACCGTCCACGAGTCCGCCCGCGGTGTTGGCCACGCCGCCGACGGTCTTGCCGACGCCGTCGACCAACCCACGCTTCCGGGCCTCGATCTCGTGCGTAGGGACCAAAGCGTTGGGGTGGTACGTCTTCTTCTTGGGCGTGTCGGTCTGCTTGCGTTGCGCCTCGAGCTCGTCGGTGGGCACGAGCGCGTTGGGGTGGTAGGTCTTCTGCTTGGGCGCCTGGGCGGGGGCTGCCGGGGCGTGGAAGTCGCGGAGAGGCCGCGGAGCCGGGATGCCCGCTGGCGCTGGGGCCTTCTTGGCGGGCGCCGGGGCGGAGGCCGGGGCTGGGGTTTTCTTGGGGAGGTGCTGGGAGGCTGGCGTGTTGACGGGCGCGGATGCGCGTGAGGGGTTGACGGATGGCTTGGTGGGCTGCGGGTTGGCGGCGGCGGCCTTCCTGGCTTGGATGCGCGCGACGATGTCGGCGCCGGTGGTTGGGGTGTTGTTGTGGATGGTCTTCTTTGTTGATGGCCTAGATGATCGGTGGGAGGAGGAGTGGTGGTCCTT